GGCTCTGCTCTGCAAAGGTCAGGTTAGGGTGGTCTCATCCGATTCTGTAGCGACGGTGGCCAAGTCTGCCCCGGCCGGGCCTTGGACTGGACTCTGCATCTGGACGCAGGACAGGGCAAGCACCTTTCCTGCCTTGAGGAGGCGTCCTTTCCAGCAGGGACACGGGGCTGCCCGCAGAACCACCCAGACAGGGCCACCCACAGACAGGGCGACAGCAGGACCCCTGTCCCGTGTCCTCTTGCGGCGCAGGGAATGCCTGGGGACCCGGGACGCCCCAGGAGGTGGCACCTGCAGAGGGTGAGGAGACAGGGAAGGATTCGCCAAGCTGCAGCCTGCCCACACGCTGCCTGTGAAAAGAAACAGCAGCGCCGCCTCGCCTGTGCCTGAAACGTCCCAATGAGCCTAAACGGCAGCTTGACCTCGTTAGAGGCAGCCTCCAAACGGTCACTGTGGGATAAGAGTGAACCTTTTCTTTTAGAAAGTGAGCAATGAAAGTGTTCACTGCATCAGGAAAACCTCGAGGGCTATCGCGAGGGTGTCACCCTCTCTGTTCACCCCCACAGAAGCCTGAGACGGAGTGGCAGAAGGTGGAGTACCTCATGGAGTTCGGCCAGTGGCTCCACCACAGACACTTTCCTCTCGAGGACGTGGTCTTCCACCTCCGCTGGGCCGTCGAGATCCTGCTGGCCATGAAGCCGCCCAGCGACGCCCCAGAGGCAGAGCCCACTCCGGACGGTGAGCCCACTCCGCTGGCAGGGTGCCGACCCCACGCAGCTCCCCCAGAGCTCTGCTTCGCGCTCCGTGGCTGGACGGCCGTTGGGCATCCACGTGTCCGTGCAGGCTTTGGAGGCCAGGAGCCCCTATGCGTCACAGCGCTGTCCTCTGCGGGGGCCCTGAGGGACTCAGCCTGACCCCCACCAGACGACCTTCACAGAAAGGTTCTGTCCAGGTCAGGGAGAAGCCATGTCCTCAGGCACACAGCTGGGCCGGCCCGGAGGCCGCCTTCCTCAGGAGGGTGGGGGAGACCTCAGACCCTGTGGGCACCTCAGCCATCCCCAAAGTGGCTTTCGACTCGAGGTAGGGGCTCCCTTCTCCAGCTGCTCCTCCTCCGCAGGCCCCTGGCCACCCGGCCCCTGCTCACAGCAGTGCAGGGAGGTGGGGGTTTGCTGGTAAGTGGGGACCTGGGCAGACGATGGCAGCCCCACTGGCATCGTCCAGAGCATAAACACCGCCAGTGCCTGGGCATCAGCTCAGGGTGACCCGGGGCAGAAACTCTGTGGGGAGCTCAGGTGCGCCTGGAGAGTCCCATGGGGTGGTTCCCGCAGGCCTGCCATGAAGAGCAGAGGCTGGCAGAGCCCAGCGAGGGTGGCCACTGCACACACATGCACACACGCACACACATGTACACACGCACACAAATGCACACACGCACACATGCACACACACGCACACACGCATATACACGTGCACACACACACACGCACACACACACACATACACGTGCACACAGCCGGGCCGTCCTAGAGCACTTGTCAATGCTGGCTTGCTCAGGGCCACCCTCCCTGTGGCTGCTGCTCCTACCCCTGTCAGGATGAGTGGGGGCCCTGCTCAGAACTCCCAGGCCCTCGGGACAGTCTGGGACAGGAACGGGGTGCCCAGGCCAGGTGCAGCTCATGAGGCTTCCAGGACACACAGGGCAGCAGGAGAGCCCTCAGGGCCTGGGGACCTGGGGCTGGAGCTGAGAGTGGAGCCGCCCCTGGGGGTGAGGGGGCGGCCAAGCTCAGCCTTCGCAGAGTAAGTGCAACACGTGGCTCTTCCCCTGGCTCCCGGCCCTCAGCAGAGTGGAGCACCGGGGGTCGGCGAGGCACCGGACAGTCCCCGCAGCCTCAGGCAGGGAAGGGAGTGGCCTGGGGCCCACAGACCCGTAGCCGGGCCTGCTCTCAGCCTTGGGGATCCGGTGTTTCAGGGGAGTACATGGCCATGCAGATGCCCCCACAGAGCTCCGTGTCCGAGGCCGGGGAGGTGGTGTCCTTGGAGCAGCTACATAGCGTGCGGCAGCTGGAGGCGCTGGCCCGTGTGCACATCCTGCTGGCACTGGTGCTGTCGCCGGGTGCCGAGGGCTACGAGGACTGCTGCCTTGCAGCCTACGCCTTCTTCAGGCACATCTGGCAGGTGAGGCCCAGCGAAGGCTCCCCTGTCCCTGCAATGCCTCCCGGGACGGGCTGTGAGCTGGGGAAACTGCAGTGAGCATTCTAAAGGCATCAGAGCCTTTCCCAGCATTTCCTAAAGACCTCTGAGATGTGAGCAGTTTCCTGCGACATCCGGGTTCTTCCTCTCTACCGGATGATTTCCATCGGCATGAAAACAAGAGACTCCCCTCTTCACTCCTGCACCCTCCACATTCCCAGCACTCCCCAAGGGAGGGCTCATGGCTCCCTCCAGATCAGCCAGTCCTCCCTGACACCCGCCCCAGTGCCCTTGCTGACCATCACCCAAAACTGCCTCTGCCTGGCTCGCCACGCCCAGGCAGCAGCAGGCGCCTCTGTTGGCAGCTGGGGCCCAACAGCTCCTGAACCGCCCGCTGATGGGGCTTCCAGAACCTTCTTCTGTGCCCCACTCCCACCTCCCTCCTTATCCTGCTCCTCCTACCACCTCTCCCTGTGAAGCCCACCAGGAGCACTGTTGGGGGCTGCCCCGTGCGCCTGTCCAGGCCTCTTGCAGGCTACACCCAGCAGGGCAGCGCCAGGCATGGCAGGCCCTTCTTCTGAGGACAAGTTTGCCCGGAACCCCCATAGGGCATCTCGGGATCAACAGGGACACGGCCCAGCCATGGGCAGAGCAGGAAAGGCAGGGAGGCCCCCTCATCCCGTCTTCAGAATGTTCCATGCCAGCCCCCCACCAGCCTCCACCACTGCCAGACCTGGGGCCATGGGCGCCCAAGCTGCCATTCTTTGTGACCCTTCTAGGAGAATTGCTCAACGTTATTCTCATGGGTTCTTAATTAGAGACCTTGAACTCATTCACCTGTGGAGTGGCAAGTCCCCCCCAGGGCCAGCCACACCTGCTCCAAACGCCCACACGTGTCAGGGCTGCGAGGGGCCGGCAGAGCCTGCCAAGGAGACGTGCCCAGTGTCCTCCCTGCCTGGGCACAGCCCCGACAAGAGCCGCTGCAGGGAAGGTGTGGGATGGTCAGCAGGGAGCCCCAGGGCCAGGGGTGTCCTGCTGTGGAGTGAGACTGAGGGACACCCGCGGAGCCAACGTGCTCATGGGCATGTCCCTGCAGCCCCCAGTGCCCACGCCCCCGGCCAGCCCCGCTCTGTGCTCTAGGGGCCTCACCTGACAGCAGCTGACGGGATGTAAGACCACCAGAGCGCTAGAGCTTGGGGAGCCCTGTGGGTCTGAGCGTCCCTCACCCAGGAGTAGAGGGTGGGCGGGGTGGGTGGCGGGTGGGTTTTCAGTGCTGCAAACCTGGATTTCATCCCTGCCCAGGTTTCCTTGATGACAGCAGGAAAATCAGTTCTAGAAAGCGGACCCCTGGCAGCAACCAGCTCACATCTGTTATTGCCTAAAAAAGAGAAGGAGAATGAGAGGAGTAAAGAGAAGGAGAAGGAGAAGGGAAAGGAGGAGAAAGCCAAGGAGCCCAAGCAGGTGGTGCCCGGGCGGCCGCGGTGGAGAGGCCGGGCCCAGGATGGCCTGTGCCTCAGTTTCCCTGCCTGTCAGGGTTCTTGGAGGAGCCCCAGGTGGCCTCAGTGCAGAGGCTGGGCCCTGGCCGGCCTCTGTGCCCCGGTTTCTCTCCCTGTCAGGGTGCTTGGAGGACAATGTGAGGGAATGTCTGTAAAGCACCCTGGTTTGTCCGTGGCGGGAATCCCAGGCCTGGAGCTAGCCACGTAACGCATGCGGCTTGCACAAAGCACGTTGTCCCAGGTCTGCCAGGCTCGGAGGCCATGGCAGGGGCTGCCCCGTGCGCCTGTCCAGGCCTCCTGCAGGCTACACCCAGCAGGGCAGCGCCAGGCATGGCAGGCCCTTCTTCTGAGGACAAGTTTGCCCGGAACCCCCATAGGCCATCTCGGGATCAACAGGGACACGGCCCAGCCATGGGCAGAGCAGGAAAGGCAGGGAGGCCCCCTCATCCCGTCTTCAGAATGTTCCATGCCAGCCCCCCACCAGCCTCCACCACTGCCAGACCTGGGGCCATGGGCGCCCAAGCCGCCATTCTTTGTGACCCTTCTAGGAGAATCGCTCAACGTTATTCTCATGGGTTCTTAATTAGAGACCTTGAACTCATTCACCCGTGGAGTGGCAAGTCCCCCCCAGGGCCAGCCACACCTGCTCCAAACGCCCACACGTGTCAGGGCTGCGAGGGGCCGGCAGGGCCTGCCAAGGAGACGTGCCCAGTGTCCTCCCTGCCTGGGCACAGCCCCGACAAGAGCCGCTGCAGGGAAGGTGTGGGATGGTCAGCAGGGAGCCCCAGGGCCAGGGGTGTCCTGCTATGGAGTGAGACTGAGGGACACCCGTGGAGCCAGCGTGCTCATGGGCATGTCCCTGCAGCCCCCAGTGCCTACACCCCCGGCCAGCCCCGCTCTGTGCTCTAGGGGCCTCACCTGACAGCAGCTGACGGGATGTAAGACCACCAGAGCGCTAGAGCTTGGGGAGCCCTGTGGGTCTGAGCGTCCCTCACCCAGGAGTAGAGGGTGGGCGGGGTGGGTGGCGGGTGGGTTTTCAGTGCTGCAAACGTGGATTTCATCCCTGCCCAGGTTTCCTTGATGACAGCAGGAAAATCAGTTCTAGAAAGCGGACCCCTGGCAGCAACCAGCTCACATCTGTTATTGCCTAAAAAAGAGAAGGAGAATGAGAGGAGTAAAGAGAAGGAGAAGGAGAAGGGAAAGGAGGAGAAAGCCAAGGAGCCCAAGCAGGTGGTGCCCGGGCGGCCGCGGTGGAGAGGCTGGGCCCAGGATGGCCTGTGCCTCAGTTTCCCTGCCTGTCAGGGTTCTCGGAGGAGCCCCAGGTGGCCTCAGTGCAGAGGCTGGGCCCTGGCCGGCCTCTGTGCCCCGGTTTCTCTCCCTGTCAGGGTGCTTGGAGGACAATGTGAGGGAATGTCTGTAAAGCACCCTGGTTTGTCCGTGGCGGGAATCCCAGGCCTGGAGCTAGCCACGTAACGCATGCGGCTTGCACAAAGCACGTTGTCCCAGGTCTGCCAGGCTCGGAGGCCATGGCAGTAGACACAGCCCAGGGTCTGGGTCCCAGAGCAGTGAGAAAAGTTTTTTTTAATCCCATGAAACCTTTCTCTCTGCAAGTATCCACTTCTGAAAGTGCTGGGCAGAGAAACCACTTGGCCGCCCAGCTTCCCAGAGCGGGACGCTCACACCTGGACCCTGGCACGAGCACTGCTGAGCTCACCAGTCAGCTGTCACTGAGGGGAGACGCAGGAGGCAGAGGCTGCAGAGCCATAGCTCCTGGAAGTCCTGAGCCTGGGCACCCCCAGGCCGACTCTGGCTGTACACAGGGCAGAAAGCTTTGCGTGCACTGCCTGGAAACAGTGTCAGAGGCTGGATCTGGGTGCTCGCTGGGGTCTGCTGGTCGGGGGGATGCCGGCTCCCCAGGGCTGTGGCCTGCCTGCTGCACAGCCATGCCGGTGGGGGCGGGGGGCGGCGTCTGCTGTTTCCGCCGTTTCAGGGAAATCCTGCATTCTTGCCTTTCTAGTGCCAAAGCCCAGCTCCTAACAAACAACTGGAAGACTTACCCACGAGCATAGAAGAGTGGGCTTCCTACTCCTGCCCCGAGGAAGTGCTGTCTGTGCTGAAACAGGACAGAAGTGACTCTACTGTTAACCCCTCAAGTATCCAGAAGCCGGTACGTTGACATAAGGAAAAGGCTCAAGACCTTCGTCACAGCATGGTGTCCCCTGACCTGTCCCCAGGTCCAGTTTCCACTGTGAACTGTAGCCAGAAAAAGGAGGACAGGACAGAGTTCCATCAGCCCCCAGCCCCCTACAGGCCCTCCCAGCACCACTGTCTGCCCCTAACTACCGACACCCAGGAAAGCCTTCCTTCTTCCCCACCCAAGTCCAACACGCACCTAGCGAGACAGGACAGGTGTTCATGACAAGCTGCCACAGCCGGGTGCTTGAAACAACAGGAACTGATCCCCTCACAGTTCTGGAGGCCGGAAGCTGAAAATCAGTTTCCCTGGGCCCAAATCCAGGGGCCCGGGGAAGATCCCTCTTGTCTCATCCCGGTCGGCCTCTGTGGTCACATGGCCTCCTCTTTTGTGCAGATCAAATCTCCCGCTCCCTGCCACAGAATTACATTTAGGGCTCACCTGGACTATCCCGGAGACCCTCCCCACCTCGGGGTCCTCACCTTATCACATC